GGCTGGGAGGGAGGCACTGGAGGGACTTTCAGCCCCCAATACTCGTTCCAAATTCCCTAAGGGCAGCTGGGACCCCCAGAACAGTCCCCACCCCATTGGCACCTTGGAGACCCAACGGCAACCTTGCTGCTCCAGGGCAAGGCAGAGAGGACAGGGTGCTGGGCAGCGGGGATGGCACCCAGCACGGGTGCTACAGCTGGAGGTCAAGCATGGTTTGGAGGTGGGAGGTGTGGGAGGTGCACGAGGAAGGTGAGGGGTGGTGGGTTCCCCTGCCTCTCCTGGAGACCCAAACCACAGCTGGGAGCTGGGGCTGGAGATAGGTAGGTGCTGCCAGTCATGGGGGTGCTGGGTGCAGGCAGAGCCTGGTGCAGGGTCGTGCTCAGCACACCTCCTCCTTGTAGTTTCAGGCAACTCAGCCCCCTACTTCAACATGACCTTAGTCTACGTGCCTGAGGACCTGGAGTTGGGTGAGTGGGGCAGCTTCTGGGAGGCTCTGGGGTGCAGGAGGAGCAGCTGGGGGGAGGGGTGGCCTGGGCAGGGGCTGAGGCTGCCTGTGTCCCCAGGTGAGGAAGCTTTCCAGCTGACAGCTATTGACGTAGACGGGGACCCGCTCACCTACAGCATCAGCGGGTCAGATGCCTACTACTTCTCTGTCGATGGCAAGACAGGCAAAGTGACGCTGAAGAACTCCCTGGACCGTGAGGTGAGGGCAGAGACCAGGGCAGATGTCCCTGCCCAGGCTGGGGGGATCTGGGGTGACGGGGACGGAGGGCAGAGCCGTGAGTCCTGTGGGAGAGCTGCTGACGCAGTACGGTGGGGTCGCTCCCTGGCCCTGAAGCCTGGCTCCGTGTGGGAGCTGTCTGGGCAGGAGCACCCCGCCCGGGGATGGAGGGTGGGAGGGCGCTGGTGCTCAGCCATCCAAGGATCGAGCTCCACCTGGCCCTGACCAAGTCCTGCCTTGTGTCCCCCCAGTTCTTGCCCAGGCTTACCATCACCATCGAGGTGTCTGACGGGATAAACCAAGCAGTGAGTGCCAGGGCACGGGCTGGGTGACTGCAGCGGGTGATGGGGATGGCGAGGGGAGCAGCAGGGCTATGGATGAGGCTTGGTGGGGAAGGAGGCTGGAGGCTTGCTTCTGAGGCAAAGAGACCTTCCAAGCAAAGGTTCAGTGACCTTTCCTTCCTGGAGGCTTCCTTCAGGCCTTCCTTCCGAGCCAGTGAGACTCAGCGGGTCTGTGGATGAGGCTTGGTGGGGGAGGGGGCTGGGGGGGGG